GTGGACCTTCATAATCACGAAGTTTTATATCCACCGAATTCAATTCGAGCGACGCAAACACTTCATCGCAATAGTGCGATATTTTGTCCTTTTTAAAGGTGGAAATAACCCATCATTATTTTTAGTCTCCATGCCTTCAGGAACCGAATTTTCAAAAATTTTGTTAATGGATTTTGGGGAATAGTCATTATTTCCTTTTTCAAAATTAGCCAAAAATGCATTCAATTCGCTCGGTCTTACGTTTACCTTTTCAACCATTGATATACTTAATTTTGACGGATTGGATTTAAATGGGAATATTTGCTTTGGATCGTCCTTAAAATACCATGTATGTTGAGCTAAGTCCAAGACAATTCCACATTCCTTAAGGAAGTCTATTCCGAGCAAAGTCCTATTATTTGTTGCATTAGGAAAACATATAAATTGAATCTTTTTAAATCGCTTTCCAATAATTATATCTGCAACAGTAGACAAAACGTGTTCATATCGTGGAACACCATCAGCTAAAATTACTTCTGCTCTGACTTTTTGAAACTGATTTCCTCTCATGAGCAATTTTTGGTATAATTGAAATCCTGCAACACTTGTCCTGGCAGCAGTGTCAAAATAAGCTTCTCCTTTTAAAGCATAAACATTAATATCCACTAAAGGAACATCACTTCCAACCATTGTTGTGTGTAGGGAATTAAAATCCAATGGCTTTTCCTGTTCATTTTTCGTGTTGCAATTCGGGCAATTGGAACGATAGTAACCTTCCATACCACATCCATAGCAATTTAATTTTGACTCGTTGGCCTTAACTTTTTTATGCTTTTCAGCCTCAATCTTTTTGAAACAGTTTTCTGCTAGATGATTTTTCTTTCTACAGTACGTGCATCGTAAGAAGGACTTTTCATTGGATTGTGGTGGTTTTGATTTTTCATCCTTGTTCTCCTGCCTATTTTCTGAAATGTTCATTTCAATTTCTCTAGCTTGTTGTAAAAGCTCTTGGAACGTTTTAACGCTAGTACGAGATATAGCTCCTCTTATTTGAGAATTTAACTGACCAAATAACATATCTATCATAGTTTTTTCAGACAGCTTCTCGGATAACTGAGCAAATAATCTCCTTTTTCTACATACAAAAGCATCTGTTGTTTCAAATGTCTTTTGCTTTTCTTGACAAATGTCATTGAATATCCTCCAATCTGGCTTTACGGGTGCAAATGCATTACGAAGAAGTTCTATTGCATCTTTAAATGAACGTGCTTCGTCCTGAACTCCTTGCCACCATGTCGAGGCATAACCTTCTAGCAATAAGGGGAAACTATTAAGAGCACTAGACTCAGATATATTTTCGGCTTCTTTATAGACCTCGATTGTTGCAATAAAATCCTCGACTTTTGTTGAGTTTCGTCCACCAGAGAATCGTGCAGTGCAACCAGTGAATGTCGTTTTCTTCTCTTGGTTAATTGATATACCACTTAAAATTTGTTGAAATTGGACATCAGTCAATACAATATTTTGTTGGACCTGTGAGAACGCATTTGCTGAGGAATCATTAGATGACATAACACTGTTGCTGCTAGTGGTATTTCTTGGTAAACCCTGTGACTGTACTTGAGATGATGCAGAAGCAAACGATGGTGTGTGGTTATTTGATCCTGAAGTTGTTCCATTGGTACCGTTAATTGTATTGGTTATTTCAATCGAATGTGTCGAGCGAGGTGTGGTAACGGTCTGCTCTAACGGTGCATTATTGTTGCTTTCAGCAACCGAAGGGTTAATTCTTGGACTCCTTCTAATCATTTTTAAAATACCCCAAAAATTCTTAATTTTGATATTGGGAAACCCTGCTCTTCACTCAAGAGTGTGGGAGTCAGTTAAGAATCACAATAAGATTTTCTCTTAGAAGAGTTTATCTGATTCCACTCAACGGTGATGAACGCAATTTATTTATTAGCAACAGCAACAACAACTCTCTTGCTTCTGTGATAACAGAGCCAACAACAGAAATGTTTCTCGTTGAAAACGGAGACGATGATGAGCGACAAGCAATTATATGAGATCTGAGCAACAACAACAACAATAGGTGACAACCAATAACCAATATAACACAATATGTTAGAGAGATCAATGACGACGATGGAATTGAAACAGTTGAGTGACGATTAACAACAACAACTGATGTAGCGATGTAAATGCAATGCCAACAACAACACAACAATAAAAGTGAGACACGTGTTGATCGGTGGTAAGCAACAACAACAACAAACAGTGATGACAGCAGCGATAACGACTGCAATTTTGAGAACTCCTCGAAGTGATTGTTAACAAACTGCACAAATGATGCTGTGACAGCGACAATGTTGGTTTCTCCTAATGCGATTGCAGCGAAACAGTGCTTTGGTAGGTTTTGGTCTAGCCACACTATTTGACTATATCACCCCGTTTTATGCTTTATGTTTTTAATGTAAAGCAAAATTGATATTTTTTAACAATTTTCAGCTTTTTAAACAATTTCGTTGGGCGCCAGTGTAGAAGGGGGTATCCTTAGTCCCTTCTCAGTAATAAAAATAATTAATTATATTATATTTTGGATTAGATCCCAGGCCAAACGATTAACGTAAAAGCTGGATCATAATCTTTCTTATAATATAATAAATTATATTTATTGAAAAAAATCCCAACCGGACGATGAACGTCTAAGCTGGATTATTTTCCAAAATCTATTAACTGAGGGGTAGAATAAAAAGAAACACTCCGCTTAGTTTTGGGAATGATGTTTATTCGTCAACAGTTAAACAGGAATGAATTTAAATTAGACATTGTTCTGATTTATATAGGTAAAAATGAGCGTTGAACAATAATTAGAAAAAAGAGAGTAGGATTATTTAAATGAGTGAGTATTGATTAAGCATTTAAACGAAAACTCTTTTGAGTACTGAAAGAATATTTTGAGTGATAAATTAGAACATGCGAAGAGTAAATAATTATTACAATAAGTGTCGAAAATAGTTACACAATAAAATAATAAAAATTATAATGTTAATCAAACTTTCGCATTTAATACAAAATAACAATTAATAAAAATAATACAATAAACATGTGGCTGCTACAAACACTCTGTGCCAAATCACAGCCAATTTGTTTGTAAAATGTGTCTAATAGGCAAAAAATACCTTAAATCGGGAGATACGGTTATATGGGGGCTATATCAAAACTTGGACCCAGGGACCCCATGTTGGATTTCTATATTGTCATTAGAAACATGTGTGCAAAATTTGGCCGCTTATGTCAAGTGGTTCGGCAGTTAGTGAGTTTATACCAAATTTTTGGGTAAATACTCAAAATAGGGCTACCTTTGTATGGGGGCTACCAGTAAACGTGGACCTACATACATAAAATTTTGCATGGACATTTGGTACCCAAAAAGAACACTCTGTGCCAAATTACAGACAATTTGGTTGTAAAATGTGTCTAATAGGCAAAAAATACCTTAAATCGGGAGATACGGTTATATGGGGGCTATATCAAAACTTGGACCCAGGGACCCCATGTTGGATTTCTATATTTGCTTTGTCATTAGAAACATGTGTGCAAAATTTTGGCCGCCAATTTTTGGGTAAATACTCAAAATAGGGGTACCTTTGTATGGGGGCTACCAGTAAACGTGGACCTACAAACATAAAATTTTGCATGGACATTTGGTACTCAAAAAGAACACTCTGTGCAAAATTACAGCCAATTTGGCCTTAAAATGTGTCTAATAGGCTAAAAATACCTTAAATCGGGAGATACGGTTATATGGGGGCTATATCAAAACTTGGACCCAGGGACCCCATGTTGGATTTCTATATTTGCTTTGACATTAGAAACATGTGTGCAAAATTTTGGCCGCCTATGTCAAGTGGTTCGGCAGTTAATGAGTTTATACCCAAATTTTGGGTAAAAACTCGAGTATTTACCCAAGTTTTTACCCACGTCTTTAAAGTATCGTAAAACTATTCATTCTAAATCGATTTGATAACAGAAATCCGGAAATAGGGTGGAAGATGTTGTATTACCGATTCAATATAGTAAATACCCAAATAAATACCCACAAATGGGTATTTACCCAATTTACCGGGTATTTATCCTTTGGGTATTTACCCACTGCCCATCTCTAACAATAATGAAATATATCGGCAGACATTTAGGCATCTCCTCAATATAGTGATACCTCCTGAAGGAAAGAATTGAGATAAACAATTAGAATATTGGGTTCAAAATTGGCATATACCGGTCATTAATCGGTTTGTATAATTATCGATATATCCCCACTTTTTGGTATGTTCCCTATATTTTCATTGCATGTATCTGTCAGTATAACTATGGTGGAGGGTATCCAAAGTTCGGCCCTGCCGAACTTAACGCTTTTTCACTTGTTTTTTAATAAAATGTATTTATTGGAAATATTTTCTTGGTTTTGGTTTAGATTAGTGATTTTTATTACATATAATTTTTTTCATTAAAAATAATGATACATGTATACTTTTTTTTTAAAATGTGAAATATTTTAATATTTTGACATAATAAATTCATGAAAAAATTCGGTTTTGTGTATATTGAATAGATATAGAATATATCATAATTAGAACTAATCTTACAATAAATAAATTATTTTTAATTGTTCATTTATAAATCCAAACATCCCCGATTTTCCAGCCATGGGAAAACAATGGCTGCATTGGCCTTAAATTTCGAATTCAAAAATAAATCATCACGGAATTTTTTGCCTTCGGGTGTATCAGCAGAAAAGTTTGCCAAATTGGCATGTTCATTAGATTCTAAAAGACATACAGCGGTTGTACCAAATGTGGTATTGAAACCTATATGAAAATAATACAAACAAATTATAAGAATCGGTGTGAAATGAAAAAAAAAAAAATATTATAACAACTTACCTAAGTAACCATATTTCAGCATCACTTGATGTAATTCACTTAACGATGGTATCGATCCAGCATATTCCAACATTTTCAAATGTTCTACCAATCGTTCATGATAATAACGGATGAAATAATCGAAACTATCTACCTTTATTGATTGTTCTGTTGAAGACATTATAAAGTACCAGAGATCCTGGGCTGGTGAGTCGTATTTGCAGACTTGATAATCAACAAAATAGGTATTCTCAATTTGGCCGGTTTCATCGTGTTTAAACATGATATTATTTAGCCAACTATCACCATGATTCAGAACATTGAATTCTGTTGGATCAACCTGGCCTAAGCGAATACTTATATCAATCATATTATCTAAGAGAGTGGGCTGAAATAAGTAAAATAATTATTTGAAATTATTAATATTAAACATTTGTTACTCAAAATATTAGAAATATTGTATATTTTAATATTTTAATCACAAAACTTACCACTTTATCCAAATACCCCTCATTGTTCTCGAACTCATTGAAATATGCAGCAAACTTTTTCCTATCGATGAGTTCAAACATTGCTCGACTTTCTTCGGTGTAGATACCTTTGTGCAGTTGTTCTGGGAAGGGACCATTCACTTCAACATATTTGGCCGATACAGCATGGAATTGAGCCAATTTGGTAAGGACCAATTGGGTATGAGTCATGTCCAAACCTTCACGTCGGTTGCCACATTTAAAACCACTCTCAGAGAGATCTTCCATAATTATCACATCGGTACCAACATCTTTGCTGAATTTATATGCCTTAGGTCCAAAATGTACTTTACAATTATATTTCGAATATAATTCTTCAAATTCTGGTAAATATTTTGTATACATAAGTATTTCTTTTTTAAAGAAATTCCATACGGAAACCATGTCATTTTCTTCTTCAGATGCGAGTGGGAATTTGAGGATATATGATTTGGTAACATTGCTGCCGTCCTTTAGCAAGGCATCAACTTTTACTCTTAGCAAGCTAGAGGCATAATTATCACCAGATTTGGTAGCTGAGTTGGCAGTGATATTGGTAATCTTTTCGAAATCGGGAAAATCAGAATTTATAATATCTTCAAAATGTTCTGCGTCAATCCAGGAAGGAACTTTAACTTGTTTCATTTTCAGTTGTGGTGTTTCAATTCTAAAAAGAGATAATTTAATTAAATATGAGACAAAATATTTAAAAATAATTTGAAGTCGTAATTGAATATTTAAGTCGATTTTTACTTTTATAGAATGTTGTGCTTTTGATTGTGGGCCGATATTGTCCAGGTACCCTGTAAACGAGTTACATATAGAACTTTTGGGAATATTTTACCGATACGAAGCAAAACACACATCCTTTCGTTGTATTCGAATTTTAATTGTGGTAGAAAAACTAACAAAAATTATTTTTTAGAACATTTGGTACCATAGTCCAAAAGAGGATCGGTCCATAATCGTGACCTATACATTGATTACTATTTATAATTAATATACGGACAGGCACACAACTCTTAAAATGTACCCATATTTGGGTCAAACAAAACTAAAATGTGAGACATTTTAAAGTTAGTTTGGCCCCAAATTACAGATATTATGAATAGCCCTTATAGATATGAAAGACAGTATTACCGACTGATATACTGCAGAATTGAAATAACAAGTATTAAATTGCCCAAACAGCAACAACAACATTTCAAGTGTGTGGTCACTGGTTTGTGTCTTTACTACTGATAATTTGAAGAGTATTTAAATGGTTGAGAATTTAAACACTGCATTATAATTTTTCAAGAGCATATTTTAAATGTGGCCATAAAGTATGCAGTAAAATTAAAATTAAAGATAAATTTTGGCATGCAAACTAAATGGGTACTTTAATGCATTTAGTACGATATACAATGAAGTTTTTAGGCAATTTTGGATTTTTGGCAAAAATAGTCTCAATTGACAATTATGGGTTTTACAACCCACAGTAGATTTATATACCCTTCATCACATTGTGGTACAGGGTACTATGTCTTTGTCTTTGTATTATGCATGTCCACCGATCCGTCCGTCTGTCCAAATAAACTGTAAACAAAGAACAGGTCTCATTTCTGATCCGATTTGAATGAAATTTCGCACAAGTCACATATTTGGCCCTATAAAATTAGAAAAAAATTCTTCAGATTGAAATATAGCTCACATATATATTTTCGTCTGATTTTACCTAAACAGATCACCAAAATTTCAAGAATTGTCCAACTGAAATCAGTACAGATTGAAATATGTTAAGTTTAGTGGAAATGGGTTCAGATTTTGATATAGCTCCCATATATAGTATGTCCGATTTTATGTAAATGGTGCACCAAATGCACAAAGTTTGTTTGATTAAAATCAAATTTTGCCCAGCGTAAAGTTTTACGTACAGATTAATGTATGCGAAGTTTTACTGAAATCAGTTCAGATCTATATATATGAAATAGAAAAAAATTTGTTTGTTTGTATGTTACCGATAGACGTAAAAACCGCTGAACAGATCTTAATGAGATTTACACTGTATGTCGGAGCATGCCCTGAAAGTAACATAGGCTATATAAACTTTTAAAATTCCGCGTGGATGCGGAGTTATAGCATCAAGAGTAAACATACCTCAAATTTTCTGAACATGTAATATGCGTATATCTTAAGAACGGTTACAGATAACGCCTTCAGAATTTATCTGTATATGGTAGGTGTGAATACACATTATTCATAAAAATATGAGCGAGATAAGATCGGTGGAAATGCACTCTCCGTTACACTTAAATAATCTACATGTAGGAAATAAAAATGTTTTGTTTATAGACTCAAAAACCGTTGATCAGATTTTACTGAGATTTTTACCGCACGTCATGCCATCCGAGGAAAATAATATAGGCTATAAAAACTTCCCAAATTTCGCGTGGATGAGGAGTTATCGCATCGAAAGGAATTATACATCTGAACTAATATTCATTTTCTAAGCTTATATCTTAAGAAGGGTTACAGATTCCCATTTCAAAATTTGTCTGAGTAACTTGGTAGTAAATACGCATCATCCCTATAAAAATTGGCGTGGTACAATAGGAGAAATGTACTCCTCACTGCATTTAATTAATCTAAATGTAGAAAATGGAAACTCTTTTGGTTAATGACACAAAAACCGCTAAATAGATTTTACTAAAATTTTCGCAGTAAATCATGCCAACCCAAGTAAGTAAGATAAAAAGCAAGATAAACTTCGAAAATTCCGCGATGACGAGGAATTATAGCATCAACAGTAATCATACCTCTGAACTAATATTCATTTTCTATGCATATATTTGAATATCTTAAATAAATCGGCTCATACAAATTTGTATAATACGCAGATACATACTAATCTTAAGTGACCAGGAATTAACAAAATTGGTCCAAATCGATAATGTTCGATTCATCATTTTTGGTCCTTTTTTGCTATTATCAGTAATGATAAAAACCACCAGCTCAGTAACTCCGCTAACGTCTGCTGTTCCATTATCAACATATTGGAATAAAATTTGTGTAAAATGAAAAATCATAGCTAATATATTTCGAGGATGTATAGAGGAAATGACTAAATCAAATGCGACAAATCCTATCTTCGGACTTCATCCTGGTTTCTTAAGAATAAGAATAATATATCTAGGTTCGATGATGTGATAATACATTATTGTGAATTTTTCTTGGCAATGAAATACACGAAAATACACAAGCGATATTAATCGGAATGAGAAAGGGATCCCAATCATATCATGGGGAAATAGTTGAGAATACAGACATAAACAAGTAAAAAAGTGTTAAGTTCGGCCGGGCCGAACTTTGGATACCCTCCACCATAGAAATACTGAAAATTTTTTGAAATGAATACATAAGGAACATACATATAAGGATAATTCTTCCAATGGATTGTTGTGAACCAAATAGAAAATTCAGCAATTTCAATGGGGGTTTTCCTAAAATCTCAAAACCCTAAAATGTTGACATATATTATTAAAGCATGGTACTTTAAAACATGTGTATAAAATCCTGAAAATACTCCAATTTAAAGGGCAAAATTATATATGAGGCATACTAAAGCTGGACCAATATTGACAACATTGTGTAAGGGGTTAGGCCTAATTAAGGGCTGATGTAACTCAAGTTCCAAGTTAATATTTTAGTTTTCAATCCCAATACCATTACGCTAAATATTAAATAGGTAGGATGTTTTATATAGGACCTGGTCCTAAATGCGGGTCGATACAGTTCATTCTCAAACCTCACGTTTTAGTTTTTATGTCGATATCCTCCGAGATAAAAATGATTACAACATATGGCTAAATCGACTAAATCGATTTAAAATTCCATACTATGTGGGGTATGAACTGAAAATTTCGTCTACCGAATAACCCCCTACTATGGTGAAATACAGCTATATGGGATAACCCCAACACCCGGAAAAAATCAGCTAACTATTTTAAAATAAAAAGGGTGTTATAAGGGGACTATCCCTAAAAGGGGGTGAATGTTAATAATTTTTGGGTGGGAGATTTGTTACAATATACGACTACAAAATACCAAATTACAGCGAATTCGGTTGAAAACCGTGCTCAAGAACCGCAAAATACCGAAAATTGGAGGGTACCCTTATATGGGGGCTACCAGAAAAAAATGGACCTATATTTATAATTTTTAGTGGAGAGATTTCCTTCGCAATAAGAACTCAACGTACCAAATTTCAGTGAATTCGGTTGAAAAACGGGCTCAAGAACCCCAAAAAATACTGATAATTGGGGGTACCCTTATATGAGGGCTACCCGAAAAAATGGACCTATATTTATAACTTTTGGTGGAGAGAATCCAATTCGGTGAAAAAATCCGGTCAAACCCCCACAAAATACTAAAAATTTGGAGGTACCGTTAAATGGGGGCTACCAGAAAAAGTGGACCTATATTTATAATTTTTGGTGGAGTAATTTGGTATCCAAAAAGAACCCAATGTACCAAATTTCAGCGAATTCGGTTGAAAAACGCGCTCAAAAACCCCAAAATACTGAAAATTTGGGGGTACCCTTATATGGGAGCTATGCCTAAACGTGGAGCGATATAGCCCATCTTCGAACTTGACCTGCCTGCAGACATAAGACGACTCTATGCAAAGTGATTACAACAGACAGACGGACATGCTTAGATCGTCATAGAATTTTTTACAACTGATTAGAAAAGTCAAGCTAAATTTGTTTTTATACCCTCCACCATAGTACGGAGGGTATATTAGTTTTGTTTTTCCGTTTGTAACGCATCGAAATAATCATTTCCGACCCTATAAAGTATATATATTCTTGATCAGCGTAAAATTCTATGACGATCTAAGCATGTCCGTCTGTCGTCTGTCTGTCTGTCTGTTGTAATCACTCTAGCGTCTAAACGAATTAAGATAGAGCGCCAAAATTTTGCATAAAGTCGTCTTTTGGGGTTCTTGAGCGCGTTTTTCAACCGAATTCGCTGAAATTTGGTACATTGAGTCGCTATTGGGTTCCCAATATCTCCACAAAAAATTATTCATATAGGTCTATTTTTTCTAGTAGCCCCCATATAACGGTACCCTCTAATTTTCAGTAATTTGGGGGTTTTGATCGTAGTTTTCCACCGAATAGGCTGTAATTTAGTACTTTGAGTTCTTATTGGGTAACAAATCTCTCCACTAAAAATTATAAACATAGGTCCATTTTTTCTGGTAGTCCCCTTATAAGGGTACCCCCAAATGTCGGTATTTTGGGGTTCTTGAGCGAGTTTTTCAAGCGAATTCGCTGAAATTTGGTACATTTGGTTCTTATTGGGTTCCAAATATCTCCACCAACAATTATAAATATAGGTCTAATTTTTCTGGTAGCCCCCATATAAGTGTACCCCCCCAAATGTCGGTATTTTGGGGTCTTGAACGCGTTTTTCAACCGAATTCGCTGAAATTTGGTACAATTGGTTCTTATTGGGTTCCAAATATCTCCACCAAAAATTATAAATATAGGTCCAATTTTTCTGGTAGCCCCCATATAAGGGTACCCCCAAGTTTCGCTATTTGGAGGTTCTTGAGCACGTTTTTCAACCGAATTCGCTGAAATTTTGTATTTTGTAGTCGTATATGGTAAAAAATTTCCCTACAAAAAAAAAATAATAATATGCACCCCCTTTTTGGGGTAGTCCCCATTTAACCCCCTTTTTATACCCTTCACCACACTGTGGTACAGGGTATTATGTCTTTGTGCATATGTTTGTAACAGGCAAAAATAATCGAGATAGACCCATGGTTCCTTTTGAGAATATGCATAGAATCACTTTCTAAGTCGATTTATGTATGTCCGTCCGTCTGTCCGTCTGTCTGTCCATGTTAAATTGTAAACAAAGTACAGGTCGCATTTATGATCCGAATTGGATGAAATTTGGCATAGGTGACTTATTTGGCCCAAGGACGAACCCTAATGAAATTGGGAAAAATCGGTTCAGATTTAGATATAGCTCTCATATATATATTTAACCGATTTAATGTAAACGGTCCCTATATATCTTTCGATTTGCACGAAATTTGGTACAGCCTAATCATTTAGGTCTAGAATGATGTCTGCCAAGTTTCGTAAAAATTGGTCCAGATTTAGATATAGCTCCCATATATAGTTTCGTCCGATGTAAATGGTGCCCCAAAGTCCCTATATATCTTTTGATTTGCATGAAATTTGGCATAACGTACTGAATTAAGCCTAAAGTGATGTCTGTCAAGTTTCGAGAAATTCGGTCCAGATTTAGATATAGCTCCCATATATAGTTTCGCCCGATTTCATGTAAATGGTGCCCCAAAGTCCCTACATATCTTTCGATTTGCACGAAATTTGGAATAACGTACTGAATTGAGCCTAGAATGATGTCTGCCAACTTTCGAGAAAATCGGTCCAGATTTAGATATAGCTCCCATATATAGTTTCGTCCGATTTCATGTAAATGGTGCACCAAAGTCCCTATATATCATCCGATTTGCACGAAATTTGGCATAACGTACGTAATTGAGCCTAGAATGATGTCTGCTAAGTTTCATGAAAATCGGTCCTGATTTAGATATATCTCCCATATATAGTTTCGTCCGATTTCATGTAAATGGTTCCCCAAAGTCCCTATATATATTTCGATTTGCACGAAATTTGGTACAGCCTAATCATTTAGGTCTAGAATGATGTGTGCCAAGTTTCGTGAAAATCGGTCCAGATTTAGATATAGCTCCCATATATAGTTTCGTCCGATTTCATGTAAATGGTGCCCCGAAGTCCCTATATATCTTTCGATTTGCACGAAATTTGGCATAACGTACTGAATTGAGTCTAGAATGATGTCTGCCAAGTTTGGAGAAAAGCGGTCCAGATTTAGATATAGCTCCCATATATAGTTTCTTCCGATTTCATGTACATGGTGCACCAAAGTCCCTATATATCCTTCGATTTGCACGAAATTTGGCATTACGTACTTAATGGTGCCTAGAATGATGTCTGCCAAGTTTCAGGAAAATCGGTCCTGATTTAGATATAGCTCCCATATATAGTTTCGTTCGATTTCATGTAAATGGTGCACCAAAGTGCCTATATATCCCTCGATTTGCGCGAAATTTGGCATAACGTACTGAATTGAGCCTAGAGTGATGTCTGCATTGTTTCGTGAAAATCGGTCCAGATTTAGATATAGCTCCCTTTTATTATAGATTGAAGAAACCAATAGGAACAAAACGTTCTGAAATTAGTATAACCTAATCTGTGACAAGTTTGTTTGAAATCGCTTAATATTTGGATAGACCTTCCATATATATTTTCGCCCGATTTCAAGTAAATGGGGCATCAAACTTCTCATGTTAGTCAGATTGACATCAAATTTTGCACATCGTACAAAATTGAGCATAAAATTATATAGTTGCGTTTTCTAGAAGTACAGAAATAGCCCAACGGATGACCTATTTATATTTGTTTGAAGTCGATTTACCTACTTTATGGATAGATCTAGGTAGATTCACATTTAGATAAATATCACATATTTTATTTCATCCAATTTCATGCTAATAGTCCTGTTTAATATACCCATAGTGGTGAAGGGTATCATATAGTCGGCCCCGTCCGACTTTACTACTTTCCTTACTGGTTTATGTTGAAATAGTTATGCAATTAGTTCTGCGTTTTGGGTTTGGTTCTAAGACTCTGTTGTATCATATCACCAGCGGAGGATATTGAGATAAAAAACTAGAACGTAAGGTTCGATAATGAACTATATATGAACTATAACCCGTATTTATACCTAGCCCCTGTGTGGGAGGTACCAGAAGGAGTGGACCGACATTCCCCATCTTCGAACTTGAACCATGTTTGAAAGAAATAATAAGATGGCCAAAGTTTGGATGATATCAAAATTTTCTGAAACAAATTTGGTCCAAAGAAACATGGGGTCTAGAACCATTTTAACCGTGTCAAAGTGTATACACCCTCATTATCCATAAAGATGTGGGTATAATTAATTGTCCATTAAAAAATTCTGAAATTTGTTTTATAGTTTACATTTTGGTTTACATAACCGGTTTGTGGAAATTTCGATATAGGTCCACTTTTTGGTAATTTCCCTATATTTTCATTTCAAGTACCTGTCAGTATATCTATGGTGGAGGGTATCCAAAGTTCGGCCCGGCCGAACTTAACGCTTTTCACTTGTTAATATTACCACCGTTATTCAGAGATTATTTAAAAATGTATTTGTAATCTATAGAATAGAATCAAATATACTAATACATAGACCGGCTGCTACGAAGTTATTACTGATATTTCACTACGATATACCTACAAATAGTTTTCGACGTTAACTATCCAATGTTAATAACTTTAGTAGGGCCGGCGAAGCGCCACGGTTTCAGCTAGTTTACTATAATTTCGTCCGATTTTAGCTAAATGGTGCACCAAACACCGATTGATACCAAATTTTGCACAGAGTAATGCATTAAGTCCAGAAGTTAAGTGCGAAGTTTAATTGAAATAGATTGAGATTTAGAAATAGCTACCATCTACAGTTTCATCTGATTTAAGCTATATGGTGAACCAAACTCTCAATATTTGTCTGATTGAGACCAAATTCTCCACAGCGTACTGAAATTACTCAAATTGACGTACGTGAAGTTTTGTTGAAATCGTTCCATATAAATAAAGCTTCCATATATTTTCATCCGATTTCATATAAATGGTGTACCAAAAACCTAAAGTTTGTCCGATTGTATGTGTAGTTTTAAGTTAGGTCAAATATCTATATAGTACACACATTTCGTCCGAAAGATCGCAATATATAAGGTAGAACTTTGAAATTTTGCACTGACATTGCTATTAATCCTAGGATGTTTGGTATTGCAAATGGTGTCCAAGTTTTGATATAGCTTCCATATACCGTCACCTCCTAATTTTTCGTATTTTGAAGGGCTGTAATCTGGTATACTGGAATTTTGGAAGAAAAAATCTATGCAGATAGTAATCATTATAGGTCCATGCTCTGTCATAGTCCTCACATAAAGGTCCCGTCCGATTTTCGGTATTTTGATGGTTTTTTGTTTATATTCCAACTGAATCTGTCATACCGAGAGTTTGAAGGCTGACATACATCTGCACAGAAATGATTCCTTAAGTCCATGCTTTGGCATATCCCGTCCATTATCGGTATTTTGTCTCATGTTCTAAGTGAGAAGACCCTATTTGTCATTCCAGATTCTTGGTAATGGAGATACTTCTCCTCAAAAATTGTTCATATAGATCAATGTTTGTAAATACGAACTCAACCACATGTTTTAATGATTGTTTTGTTAAAATCAGTTCAGATTTGCATAAAGCTTTCATACATATCGACGCCTCCGAACCATAGTATGCTAAGTCGACTTAGCATGTTTTAAAGTTCTTCACGTTTTTAGATACTACGGTCCTTAATTTCAATTCTCTGAAATTTTGGTAATCATCGGCCAATCCAAACCAAAGTTATAAGCGAAAATGTATTTAGCATGGCACGTAAGATTCAAGAAACTTCCATACTTTGAAAGCTTCTACTGAAAAACTCACTTTTCAGACTTAGCATACTATTCTTCGGAAGCGTCGATATTATCATCTGATTTCATGTAACTTAAGTATGACACACCAAACGTGTTTATGGCCGATTTGAGTCTAAAATTATTTGCATTTAGTGTTGAATTTTGGGAACCCCTCTAACTTTCCACATAGTGGATAGGGTATTCTATAGTCATACACGTCCGATTTTCATCATTTCCTTACAGTTTTATATAAGCTCAACGTCACAACTTTATGGTCGATATTGAAGCATATCTGAATTTTCAATTCGAAACAAATTTGATAGAAAAGTCGTATTAGTCCACAAAAGCTTAAAAAGCACCATTCAACCCACATCCCCTTTCCTGTGTTAACTTCTGCGAGGTTCTAGATCCACTAGTATATAATTTAGATTTATTATAATACATTAATTTATGTTCCAAATTTGGAGTTGGCTATGATAATATCGATCCATCTTATATTGATATCTACCTTACTAGATATGTGTAGTTCGGAAATGTTTGTAGTAGTAGATACATGTCATAACTTCTTAATCTTTAAAATAATTGACTAATTAATATATTATCCATCTAGAAGCAAAACAATTGTAAATTATTTATAATAGCTATTTTTTCATTTACTTAATCATTTATTTACAATCAGTGGGTAGTAATAAGCCTATAAATCTACAAACATATTTACACATAAAAAACCGGAACATTCACATCCCATCCTACTTACATCAATTCCAATAGACCACGTCTCACCATCCAGGGAAATACGGATTCGGCATGTTTACGATAACGTGAATTCAAATACATTTTTCTTTTGAATGAATTCGAATCTTCGCCGTTCGACAACATTGTCTCTAAACTTGCATTTTCTGTGGGATCCAAGAGAGCGGCAGTCATAACTCCTATTGAGGCATATGGAGCTAAAAATAAAAAGAAATTTAGGGTAATCACTGAAAACCCAAAAATAAAAATTTTAAAAATTCTTACCAAATAGACCATGTTCCAAGAGATCAACATGTAAATCCTTCAAAGTTGGAATGTCCTTGGGGTATTTCAGCAACTCCAATGATGCCTTCAAATTGTCATAATAGAAACTGATGAAATATTCAAAAGATTCCAGTTTCAATTCGAATTGTGTTGACGAAAGCAGGAAATAGTAGAGATCATATGCTGGCGATCCATAGCACATCAATTGGAAATCGACGAAATAGGTGTTGGCAATTTCATTCTTGTCATTGTATTGGAACATGATGTTGTTGACCCAGCAATCGCCATGATTCAAAACATTGAATTTGTTAAAATCTGGTGTAAATGTTTTCACAAGACTGTCATAGGAGTTATGGCAGTAATTTTTCTAAAGAAATAATAATAAATCTTATTATATTCATTCGAACCTTAAAAATATTTTTTATGTTCTTACCAAATGTTCAATATATTCCTCATGTCCATCGTACTGTTTACAGCAATCCAAGAATACATTAAAGAAATCTCCAAATTTAGCCAAATGCTGTTCTTTGAATTCTGGCTGATAGACGGAACGTTCAAAGATTTCCGGATAATGACCTTCAGCCTCAAACAGGCAAGCCGAGGCAGCATGGAATTGAGCAATTTTCTTTAGAACCTCTAAAGTGTGTGTCAGGTCCAGTCCTTGTAAACGATCGGCATTTTTAAATCCTTTGGTACGTAAATTCTCCAATATCAATGTCTGGACACCATTGTCCACGACGGGTTTATAACTTTTTGGCCCAAAGACCACATCAGCGTTGGCCTTTTCTTTGAAAATAGTTTCCAGTTTTGGAATAATATCATTATAAGCAATTATCTCCTTTTTAAATGTTCCCAAGAAATTGAGCATGGCCACTGCTTCATCGCCTTTTGGAGGGATTTTTACCATATACGAAACGACATGTTGGGTGTTGTCTGAAATGAGAAGGGGGTAGAGGTAGGCAAATAGTCCATTTCAGATAGAGAGGTGAATATATATATATATATATATATAATATGGGGACCTTGAACTTCACATCAGTAAAGGTTTTGTATTATTGGGGGCCACGGATTACGATTGAGGTAAAAAAGGTTTGTAAGATCGTCACAGGTTTTTGTGTATATAATCGAATTGAAACAACACTCGATGGTGTGGGCCTTCGAAGTCATGCCAAATCTAACCTATTTCTTGAGAAAAGTGTTCAGGTGATTTCTCCGCCTGAGCTGCGCGGGATCTGAGCGGTATATAAGAATTTGTTTGCCTGACGAGGAATTCGTAAAACGAACTATAGAAGACAATCGGCTGAAAGCAGTCCATTTTGACCAGCCAATACGTGGAATTGATTAACCATCCACCATACAGCTCTGATCCAATGACTTGTTTTAATTCCCGCACATAATAGTTGCACGGTGTCAGAAGATGCTGTTGCAGCCTACAACAATAATGTTTTGAGGTGGAAAAAGTTCTTCGACACGGAAGATAGAGCTCATTATCGTCGTCGTTTATTTAAATGTTGTTAAGTCCATTTTTCACGTTTTTACGTTATATGATCTATCATGTTTAAGGACACAAAGTCAACAATATTTTTGAAACACATCAATCCCAAACCTTTAAATATCTCAATGTGAGAAAATATGGACTTAAACCGCTTTTATAATAAACGACTCATATTAAGCACCCAGAAGGACAAATTTGCCATAGGTCAGAGTTTTGAGTTTAGGCCGCGATGAACTTTTCTTCTGACAACTCTACAGTTCACGAAGAAAAACAATTTTATCTATGTTTGTGGCTATTCCCGAGTATTTGTGATTGTATAACACACCCTCCTTCTATCTTGAACCTTTATGAGTCTTTTTACACCCTTCATCACACTGAGGTACAGGGTAATATGTCTTTGTGCATAAGTTTTGTAACAGAAAACGAGATAGACCCATGGTTCGAGTTATGCATATCTGTTCGTCCATGTTAAATTGTAAACAATGTACAGGTCGCATTTATAATCCGACTTGAATGAAATTTGGCACAAGTCACTTATTTGGCCCGAGGACAAACCCTATTGAAATTGTAGAAATTCGATCCAGATTTAGATATAGCTCCCATATATAGTTTCGTCGGATTTTAGGTAATTCGTGCACCAAACGCTTAATATTTGTCCGACTGCGACTGAATTAAACCCAGTTTGATGCATGTGAAGTATTGTTGAAATCGATTCAGATTTAAATATAGTTCCCATATATATTTTCTACCGATTTTAGGTATTTGGTGCACCGAACTTCCAATATTTTTCCGATTCAAACACAATTTTGTACAGAGAACTGTGTTGGTTACAGATAGACGTACGTATGTGTATGTGAGACATAGCTTCAATATATATTTTCGTCCGCTTTTATCTAAATAGTGCACGAAACTCCCAATATTCGTCCCATTGAGACACTATTTTGGAAAGCGTTGATATAGCTCCCATATATATTAGTTTGGAATATATATCGGAATGTCCGATTTGAGCCAAATAAGAACCTTTTTTGTATGATTTTTTGGTAATCTCATAATGCGTCTCTCCTGCTCTCTTTTTGCAAAAAACTGTAGTAGTCGTTCTTTACAATCCTTCCTAGATACCATTTTTTTTTGCAGTGCAAGAAAGAGATAATAGCCGCTTGGTGCCAAGTCCGGACTGTATGGCGGATGCATTAAAACTTCCCAACCAAGCTCCCGAAGTTTCTCGCGAGTCACTGGGTGGCACGACACCTCTACTGTTGGTCAATTCTGGCCGTTTCTGGTCAATTGCTATCTTCAAACGTTCCAGTTGTTGACAGTGGGGATCACAATTTAGCGTTTGGCCATATGGAAACAATTCATAATAAATAATCCCCTTCCAGTCCCACCAAATGCATTGCAGAACCTTCCTGGCCGTTAGTCCTGGTTTGGCCACCGTTTGAGGTGCTTCACCGTTCTTTGACCACGATCCTGTTCGCACAGGGTTATCGTATGTGATCCATTTCTCATCTCCAGTCACCATGTGTCTATCTCATTCCGTTTGGACAACGCTTCGCAGATGTAATGGTTTAAAGCAGTTTTTTCGATTTCTAGTTTCTGGGCGATGTTACGACTGCTAACATACCGGTCAACTCCGATCATTTCTCCGATTTTATCGACATTTTCATAATGTATTTCTTTTTCGAGAACCTAATATATTCGTCAGATTTTAAGTGAATATTGCACCAAACTCTCAATATTTATCCGATGTATGCGAAGTTTTGTTGAAACCGGTTCAGGTTTAGAAATAGCTTCCATATATATTTCCATCCGATTTCATATAAATAGTGTACCAAATTATTAAAATTTGTGCATTTATGCCACGGTTGCTCAATTAGGTCCATTTTTTACATATAGTCCCTTGGAGGAGGTTTGATGTAATTTATTTTACCACGGTCCTTATAAACCTTTATGGTTTCAATTTTTATGATTCTGTAGAATTGATTTCATTTCGTGCTATTTTTTACACAACCTATTTATAGTGTACGAGTATAAATAGCATTACCAACATCTGCACAATTATAAATGCAGCAATTAACAATTAAAATTTCTGTACCTCATTATTTTATTGCAAAGTTTATAGACCATCTACATATTGGAAAAAATAAAGAAATCAAACACCTATCTTATCAAAAAATAATAAAGCCGACAAATATCTACTGTCACCTGGGGCACGCTTCAAAATATTACCTCGTTATCAATGTCCGCACTTTCTGATACCGTTCATATCGGCCAGTATAAACGTATTAGCACATAAATAACAAATACAATAGATATAAGAATGTACCCCATTCTTCAAACAAATAAAAAGTTCCATTACGATCGCCTAGAAATGTTCTCACGTACCTTTTAGCTCGATATCGATATCAGTCTTTAACATTATCGATGAATAGTTATCTCCGGTATTTGTTGCTGGGCTGACTTTGAATTTTACAATTTGTTGATAATTTTCAAATTCGCCACGAAGAATATCTTCGAAATATTTTTCGTTTAACCATTCGGGGTGGGTGGTGGAGGGATCTTGCTTAGGTTCTGGTTCAGGTACAGAGGCAGTTACAGTTTCAACAACTTCTTTGGTAACAAATCTACAATGATATTTTTTTTATGAAATATTCTTCTAAATTTTATTTCTAATACCTACTTTGGCACCAAATAACCATGATGAGCTAGCCATGGCAACACCTTATTAATATGTGTTATATAACGTGGATTCGAGTACGCCAGCTTCTTAAAGTCCACACTCTCTTTTTCGTCGCCCATGAGATTTTCGAATTTAGCATCATCGCTTGGGTCCAACAACACAATTCCCATGGTCAAGAAGGCAGTCACCGTGGCCCACGAACCATAGGTAATTATCTGTTTATTAAATTCTCTCAAGCTGGGAATTTTCTCTTTAGGATAGGCTAATAAATTTAAATTTTCCACCAAATGCTGATGATAGTATTGTACAAAATATTCAAATTTATCCACTTTAATATCAGCTTGTGTTGAAGAGATCATAAAATATAGGAAATCTTGAGCTGGAGAGCCGTAATTGGTATTTTGGAAATCAACATATAGACAATCCACCAGTTTGCCTTGGTCATCGTATTTGAAGAGGATGTTATTGGACCACGAATCGCCGTGATTGAGACAATTGAAGAAGTCGGGATTTACTTTACGCATTTGTACGAATTCTTCAACACAGTTATCGAAGAAAAATTCCTAAAAGTAATAAAGACAGCGATTTTAGAATTATAAGGAAAGATAGGACAGAAATAATGGAAAAAAATAGATTAAATTACAAAAATATATAGACATTTCGTTAAATTTGGCCGAGTTCAATTTTTATACCCTTACAAATAATCTGGTGTACAATTGCAAGGAGGTTCCTGCTCATTCCATAACTCGAAATTATGGTTGATTCATTGGGAGGATTTTTTTAACACCTTGACATATCAGATATGCCAAATTATAGATAAATAGTTTGAAGAATTTGGTGAGGACATTTAAAATGTCTATTTTGGGGTTATGTAACCTGACCTGGTATTTTTATATGCGAGCCTCGTCAACATGCTTTGAGGTGTTTTACCCTTGAAATATGAGCACGGCTAGGGCTATCAAAAAAGTTAGAGCTCTGCAATTTTGACATACATTGCTAGTACTCCTAGGATGTTTGGTATTGCAAATGGGATATATCGGTCCATGTTTTGGTGTAGCCCTCATATAACGGTACGCCCCAATATTCGGTATTCTGCAGATTTTGGACACGTTTCCAACCGAATTGATTGTAATTTGGTGTTTTGGGTTCTCATTGTATAGCACATCTCCGTACCAAAAATTATTAATACTGACCCCCAATATTCGGTATTCTGGGGATTTTGGACAAGTTTTTCAAACGTAATGTCCTTATTTTAAATAATTTGATTGTCATCCTCATTTTGGAGGGTATAAAAACTTCGGCCGGGTCGAACTTACTATCTTTTTTACTTGTTATCCTTTAACATCTCTACTTACCATCGCATCATAATATTGTTCACCATTCTCGTAAAGTTTGATGCAATCCAAAAATGGTTTCTTGAATGAACCGAACATTTGTTGTATAAATCCGCGACTAATTGGCGAATCCAAATCACGCTTAAACTCCTCCCGAAATTCTCCCTTCCGGAACACACGAACAGCTGATGCCGCATGGAATAGAGCCATTTTGCGTAGAACCGCCTCTGTATGTTCTGTATCTAAACATTCCAAACGATTGGCATTCTTATAGTGTAGAGGTCCCAAATCTTGCAATAGAACATAAAAATCGGCGGGAGCCTCTTCAGCCATGCGATAGGCCTGTGGGCCAAAGGAAACATCAACACCAGCCTTACGATACATTTCTTCCATTTCGGGTATGGCGTCATTGTAGGTGGCATTTTCAACTTGGAAGAAGTTCATATGTTGCAACATTTGTTGCATATCCTTGTTGTCGTGGGCGACCTTTAACATGTACGATAAATCTTTGGTGGTGCCATCCAAAAGGCTGATCGTGACATAGACGCGCAACATAAGTGTGGCATAATTTTCACCAGCAGCTAAGGCGGGTTGTGCTTTGAACGAAACAATTTCATTGAAATTGGGATATTGTTTCATTAGCAAAGGTTGGATATTTGTCTGGTTCACCCAAGCGGGAATGTGGGGATTGGGAACTTCTTCAGTTTTTGTCTCTTCATTGTCTACAGCAGAGGTTACGACAGGTACTTGTAGCTGTTCCTTGGTTGCAGTTGGCTCTTCCTGAGTTACCTCTTCATTATTTGTAGTGACACTTTGTGGTTCCTCTTCACTGGGAGTTTCAGGTGTAACTGTTAGTGAGGGTAATTTAATTTCTGGCAATGGCCGGGGTGTTTTCTTGTAACTGAAATCTTTATCCGATACAACAGGAGCTATATCATAACTCTTGGGATCATGTTTTGAATTGCGTAAACCCATAATATAAAAAACCAAACAAAACCGAATCTGAACACAAATAATTTCTATTGAATACTAAGAGAAAATAATTTCAAATCAACGGCTGATGAACAGAAATCGGAAAAATGATATTCGTAACTATTGGAATGAAACAACCTTCACGGTTCACTACACACTCACTACTGTGGAGAAGCGATTAACTAATTTTTCGGTTATATGCATTTCATAGATATGTATAGCTAAAAAACAAACACACCACGATCACTTTGAGTAATTTGGCGATAAATTGAGAGCGTGTTCTTGGAAAAACAACAGGTACAGCATATGGTATAGTATTATCAAGTTTGTTTGAAGTGGCCACCAGTCGCTTAGCATTTCCATTGGTAGTGAATAGTGAAATTATCAGAATACGATCTAAGATATAGTTATACTCTCTGTCTCTCTGGTGGTTCTCTTCGACGCGTTTGCCTCTTTTTCTATTTCTAAATTAATGACAATGCTTATTTTCAATATCAACAATGATGACATTTATTAGTGGTTTGTGTGCTATCAGAATAAGATCAATATTTTGTAGATAAGCTCGATTTTAGCCATGACTGATGTAATATTCGTATTTCAAGACAAATCCCGCACTAAATGTTTTGAAATATTTTAACCTTTGATTTATAATTTTTAACATTTCATTTCCTCCCCAATATCTAAAATATGTCATAAGTACGATATCTAAAAATAAAAAAAATCTGAAGACCCTCTTCTGCATATTTTCTCTTTTATATTCTGTTATATGGCTATTTTTGTGCACAATTTAATATTTCAAGTTTTGCACATTTTTAATACGTCATTTTTGTTATCAAATTTAAATTTGAAAGGTACATCCTAGTCAGTGTTATCAGCAAGTACAAAAGTCCTCATAGACATTGCGGTTTCTTAATATGATGGATATGTAGGCTTTGAGAAATATTTCACTATGTTGACAGTCATTGATGAGTTTTTTTTTTTTTTTTTGAAAAGTTTTCGACAGTGCAAAGGTCGAAGTGCAAAGGTCGTTTAGTTCAGCTGGATCGAATTTGTTACACCCTCTTGAAATAAAAGCGATATATGAACTATGGAAAAATCTAGGTTGAATTATAACTTATATTGCCAATATGAAAATAATAATATGTTTTCCAATAATTCGTCGGCGGATTTTATATAATCTAAGTTTTTTTTATACCCTCCACCATAGTATGGAGGGTATATTAGTTTTGTTTTTCCGTTTGTAACGCATCGAAATAATCATTTCCGACCCCATAAAGTATATATATTCTTGATCAGCGTAAAATTCTAAGGCGATCTAAGCATGTCCGTCTGTCTGTTGTAATCACTCTAGCGTCTAAACGAATTGAGATTGAGAAATTGAGAGCACCAAAATTTTGCATAGAGTCGTCTTTTGTCTGCAGGCAGGTCAAGTTCGAAGATGGGCTATATCGGTCCACGTTTAGGCATAGCTCCCATATAAGGGTACCCCCCAATTTTCGTTATTTTGAGGTTCTTGAGCGTGATTTTCAACCGAATTCGCTGAAATTTGGTACTTTGAGTTCTTATTGGGTAGCAAATCTCCCCACTATAAATAATAAATATAGGTGGATTTTTTCGGACAGCCCCCATACAAGGGTACCCCCAATTTTCAGTATTTTGAGGTTCTTGGGCGTGTTTTTCAGCCGAATTCGCTGAAATTTGGTACATTGGGTTCTTATTGGGTACCAAATTTCTCCACAAATTTTTCCTCTATAGGTCCACTTTTTCTGGTAGCCCCCATATAAGGGTACCACCCAATTTCCAGTTTTTGAGGGGTATTGACCGGATTTTTTTACCGAATTGGCTGTAATTTAGTACTTTGAGTTCTTATTGGGTATCGAATCTCTCCACAAAAAGTTATAAATATAGGTCCATTTTATCGGGTAGCCCTCATATAAGGGTACCCCCAATTTTCGGTATTTTGGGGTTCTTGAGCCCGTATTTCTACCGAATTCGCTGAAATTTGGTACTTTGAGTTCTTATTGCGTAGCAAATCTCTCCACTAAAAATTATAAATATATGTCCATTTTTCGGGTAGCCCTCATATAAGGCCCTCATATAAGGTTCTAACCGAATTCGCTGTAATTTGGTATTTTGCAGTGGTATATGGTAACAAATATTCCTACCGAAATTATTAATATTCACCCCCTTTTAGGGGTAGTCCCCTTATAACCCCTTTTTATATTAAAATCGTTAGAGGATTTTTTCTGTGTATTGGGGTTATCACATATAGCTGTATTCCACCATAGTAGGGGGGATATTCGGTAGACAAAATTTTCAGTTTATATCCCACATAGTATGGAATTCTAAAACTATTTAGTCGATTTAGCTATATGTTTAATAATATTTCTCTCGGAGGATATCGATATAAAAACTAAAACGTGAGGTTTGAGAATGAACTGTATCGACCCGCATTTACGACCAGGTTCTATATAAAACATCCTTCCTATTTAATATTTAGCGTGATGGACGGTATTGGGATTCAAAACTAAAATATTAGCTTGGAACTTGAGCTACATCGGCCCTTAATTAGGCCTAACCCCTTATATAATGAAAACACAAAGTAGTTGAAAACAGAGTAGTTGAAAACACAAAGTAGTTGCTAAATTGGAGAATTTTCAGGATTTTATACACATGTTTCACCGTACCATGCGTTAATAATATATGTCAACATTTTAGGGTTTTGATATTTTAGGAAAACCCCCATTGAAATTGCTGAATTTTCTATTTGGTTTACAACAATCGATTGGAAGAATTGTCGTTATATGTATGTTCCCTATGTTTTCATTTCAAACATTTGTCAGTATTTCATAACGCTTTTTTACTCGTTTTTTTTTTATCAGAATCTTTCTATGCAAAATTTCCCGTTTAGATTGCAAAATAATTTATTTCATATTTTGGCTGGATGAATTGGTCTTACACATCCCGTTCATTAATTATTTGCTTCAAATAAGGTATTCGTATTTACAAAAAAGTTTCGAATTTAATGCTGATCAAATCGTTTATTCAAATTAAATTTATGAGTTTATAAAATATTGACCTTTACTAGGGGAGGTTCCTTAATCTTGGTAATGATAATAGCTTGTAGAATGTTTGGTTCAGATCGGACATTTCAATCGTCTGGTTTATAAATATCGAAAGTTTTGAAAGAATTTTGAATTTATAAATATTGAAAGTTTTCACCCTATTGAAAGTTTTGACCCAGAAGGAGTGGACCAGGGACGCACGAAGGATTTTGTTTCGATGGCAAATGAAAAAATTGCTATTATGCCTTCCTTAAATATGGGATTAAGTTTAAAAATGTATTATTTTAATATACATCATTTGTACGAACGTTAAATTTTTATGTTTAATAGAAATATATGGAAAGGCATTACTTATCGTGAAAATGTATTAACACAAACATATATATAACTTCACTACTCTTAACGTATTGCGTATTTCAAACCAAGTCTTCTATTTTTGGATTTTTTAGTTATGTGAAAAGTACAAATTTATGCATAAAAAGAATAAAATGAGCTTTGCATTTGATTTTTCAGCTAATTTTTACTCAACGTGGGATAGAAAACATTCTTTCGGCTGATGCTGTGGTTACCGGTGTTGCTATTAAAATTTGTAACAATATATTATATTATATTAAATCGAATAAAGTGGGTTAGATGTGATTAGGTCGGGGAGTTTTTGATTTTCACATAGTGATCCACAGATCCACTCATATATTTCATAAAATTGTATGATTTCTTTAAAATCTTAACATTAAAATTTCACAATTCTCTATAAGTTTTAACTGTTTTTTTTTTCGTTTTCGAGAAATCAACTTGTTATACTTACAATTAGATCGTTCAAACATGGTACAAAAAATGTAATTCTATACCATATTCGGAGTTCGAACTCATTACCTTTGGCCTGAAACTTCTACTTCTTAGAAATAAATCCAAATTCTATCTTACCATTTCCCCCTATTTTTTCCAACGATTCCACTATCTCTTCTATATTTGTACGCAATCGTGCTAGGATAAAGCCAATCGGTGAAGATCTTTCTTATTTTTGAACATAGTTTGTTTTTTCAAAGGTCAACAATTTCGTTAGTTTTAGCGAAGTAAATAATCCTAGTTCATACGAGAGCCAGACATGTACTCCTAATACCGTTGGAATTTTCGGATTCCGTTGTTCCAGTGAGGAGTTATCAATGATAACTTATCATGAACGCCATAAAAAGTAAGGACTTTTCTTTGATCACAAAAACAACAACAAATTTTTTTGTAAATTATTTTTCTTCCTTTTTATACCCTTAACCACACTGTGGTACAGGGTATTATGTATTTGTGCATATGTTTGTAACAGACAAAAGGAAACGAGATGGACACATGGTTCCTTTTGAGAATATGCATAGAATCACTTTTTAAGTCGATTTATGCATGTCCGTCCGTCTGTCTGTCCATGTTAAATTGTGAACAAAGTACAGGTCGCATTTATTATCCGAATTGGATGAAATTTGGCATACGTCACTTATTTGGCCAAAGGACGAAACCTATTGAAATTGGGAAAAATCGGTTCAGATTTAGATATAGCTCCCATATATATTTTCTTCCGATTTAAGGTAAATGGTGCACCAAAGTCCCTAAATATCTTTCGACTTGCACGAAATTTGGCACAGCGCACTGAATTAAGCCTAGAATGATGTGTGCTAAGTTTCATGAAAATCGGTTTAGATTTATATATAGCTCCCATATATATTTTTGTCCGATTTTAGGTAAATGGTGCACCAGAGTCCCTATATATCTGTCGATTTGCACGAAATTTGGCACAGCATAATGAATTTGGTCTAGAATGATGTGTGTTAAGTTTCCTGAAAATCGGTTTAGATTTAGATATAGCTCATATATATATTTTCGTCCGATTTAATGAAAATGGTGTACCAAAGTCCCTATATAATTTTCGATTTCCACGAAAATAGGTACAGC